CCACGACGACCACCACCACCACAACAAGCACCACCACGACCACCAGCACCACCACGACCACCACTACCACAAGCACAACTACAACAACTACAACGACTAGCACGACCACGACGACTACCACCACCACAACTACAACAAGCACAACCACCACAACGTCCACCACGACCACTACCACCACAACGAGCACGACCACTACCACGACAACATCCACAACAACAACTACCACCACTAGCACAACAACCACAACAACTACCACCAGCACCACAACAACCACAACAAGCACGACCACAACCACAACTACAACCAGCACGTCCACGACGACCACAACCACAAGCACAACCACAACAACAACCTCCACCACAACCACTACCACCACTTCAACTACTACCACAACCACGACTATCCACGGCGCTTGCTTGTCGCCCCCAAATGCCGTGGGATACATCATCGACGAGAAGAGCGTGTGGTGGTCCAGCTTTGATGTCGTGGTCAAGTGTGACACGCCAACCTACATTGGGCATGCAAAGGTTGAAGTGTGCACAGAGAAGGACAAGCCGTACCAGATCCACGGCTGCGTGCTCTCCTCAGATTCGCTCACTAGCATGTGCAGCTAGCGTAAGAAGCTGAAGCAAATCATCGTAGTTGCTAAACTCTCACCCAGTAAGACCGATGAGGAATTCAGCTCCTGAATAGCGCGACGCAAGCTGCGTAGGCCAGGCTTGCTATCAACAAGTTCAGGCCAAGTACATCAATTGCAAGACGCCGTCCAGCACGCAAGGCTACGTGATCACCGAGACCGGCACGGCAACTGATCTGAATGGTGAATAGTGGTAATAGTTGTGATATGTTGTGATAGCAGCAGCAGCAGCAGCGGCGGAGGAGGAGTAGTAGTAGTAGTAGTAGCATCAGTTCTATGTCTCAGGGCCCTCAATGCCATATGAACTGAGGTCTAAGCTCCCGACAGGATGGTTATATAGGGACTTTTACAGGGGACTACTGTAGGCCTAATTGAAGGGGGAGACTAGGAGAGCTCATACACTCCAGGATGGAGGCCCTCTCATAATCCTTACTCTATGTCCCTAGGGCCCTCAAAGGCCCCCCCTCACCCTGAACCCCTACACTCCTGAACCCCTAAACCATTGAACCCCTAAACCCTAAACCCTTGAACCCCTACACCCCTAAACCCCTGAACCCCTAAACCCCTACACCCCTAAACCACTGAACCCCTAAAGCCCTAAACCCCCTACCCCCATATCATAATTGGAGCCCAGGAGCTGCACAAGTGGGACGTCAAGGCACAGTGCGCGGCGCTGTACCACGGCACTGCCAAGGCTGGGAATCCAGGTTAGGGTGTTTAGGGTTTAGCGTGTTTAGGGTGTAGGGTGTAGAGGGCTTCAGGGTTTAGGGTTTAGGGTTTTAGAGTTTAGGGTTTAGGACTTTAGGGTTCAGGGATTAGGGTGTACAGGGCTTTAGGGTTTAAGGGTTTAGGGTGTGTAGGGCTTTAGGATTTTGGGTTTAGGGTGTATAGGGCTTTAGGGTTTAGGGTTTTGGGTGTATAGGGCTTCAGGGTTTAGGGTTTAGGGTGTATAGGGCTTATATAAGGTTTATTGCAATTTCTTCGGGTTTGGGCGGGGGGAGGTTTGATTATTGAGCGGCAAATTTTCCAGTGTTGGAATTTAACGAAATCTGAGAACCCCAAGCACATGGGCCTAAGGGTTTAGGGTTGAAGGTTTAGATCACTTAGGGAAAAATAGGGGCTCTATAAGGATTATGTAGGGTTTATAACACAATGATACAGGGGTTTAGGGATATGACGTCCATATCAGAGAATCAAATGGAAGCGAAACTCAAACATGAAGTGGTACCTGAGACTATGATAGACTGTATTGGGAGGCTGTGGAAGTAATCCCCTCCCCCATTTTTTAAACCCCCGCTAATGTGAATTATTCCCTACATCTTCTAGTATGCCACAATGGGAATGATTAAAGTGAGGGGGTTGGGGGGCTTTAATACTTACTTAGCCAGTAGACGACCTTTACACCTTTTTGGGCTTCCTTTTTGGGTCTCTAGAACTAAGTTTTGTAGCCCTGGTTATTGGGGAAAAGAGAATACTAGGGGGGATGATTAGTGTAAAGCTGCCTACAAGGTCACTGAGTGCGACGACAACGGACTTCCCTACGGCGCTTTGGCCATGCAAAGCAGGGCTTGAAGGGAATGGGCGCTCAAGGACTTAGTCATGGTTAGTAGGACATGCTGTATAGGGGTTACATAGGGGCTATATTGGGATAAGGGAAAAGAAAATGGAAACTACTATTGAGGGTTTAGGGTTTAGGGTATATAGTCCCCCTTAAGTAGATAGAAAATGGTGTATATGGGGATCTTATTATAACATACCCAAAGCCATATTCTATCTACTTAAGGGGGACTATGGTGGGAAATGCTGAAAATGCTGCCATGGATCCATATAAGCCCTCAGATATCATGAATATGATTACAAATATAGGCCTAAACCCTAAACCCTGATATAAACATTACTTCACATTTTCTTTTGTCCTTTCAAGGAAGGATCTGAGATGTAAGCAGTCCGCTTCGACTGGCTGACTTGCGGTGAGTAGAGATGGAGGCATGGAGTCCTTCTCCTGTCTATAGGAGCCGTCATCTAAAATCCTTAAGGGGAGTTATGTAGGGGATTATCTTGGGGAACTACTATCCCAAGTACCTTAAACCTTGGGAGTTTGGGTATCATAAGCCTGCCAAGAATTTTCCCCGGAATTCAACAGCCATTACACAAATGACAACATGCGATAAAGATGAGTTTGTGTTGTTGACCGAGATGGACCTAACAGAGTTTAGGTCCTAAACCCTAAAAGGAGTAGCTTTGGGTGGCTTGGCCGGGCCGTCTCAGACGGCATGAGGTGGGTGATTGTGTTGAATGGCCAGCCACAGTCCGGCCATGGCAGCACTTCGCATGCAGCCATGTACTTGAAGGATCGTTGACACCTAATCCAAACCCTAATCCCTAAACCTTAAACCCTTAACCTGTCAATGGTTAGGTTGAGTTGCCAAGGAATCTCTGGGTGCGAGCCGGACACCTGCGTTGAGCCGAGCGACACCACAGGCCATAAAGGGACGTTCATAAGAACCCCAGAATCGGCAACCCTAAGAATCTAGTACGAACATAGGGTTCAGGATTTAGGGTTTAAGCTTGAGGTTTTAGGATTTAGGGTTCAGGGTTTTGGGTTTTGGGTTTAGGGAGTTTAGGGTTTTAGGTGCTCCCTTCAGGCTATGAGCTGACGGTGAAGGACTTGGAGTTGTGGAAGTCTCTGGGCGCATCTATTGCTTACACGAGGGTTCTACGGGGAAATTGTGTTAAGGTTTAGGTTTTTAGGGTTGAGGTTACGTAGGGATGTATGGTATATAGGGCTTACGGCTTAGGAATGGCTAGTCGCATCGACAATGAAATGGAAAATAACATGGAAATGAATATGGCGCTATGGAGTGGGTATATAGGGATGTCTAGAGAAGTGACCCCAATCATGGGGAATCAAATGGAAGAACATATGGAAAATGAAATGGAGCCTGAGATAGGCTTCAGTGCTCTCTGGGGCTTACGGCTGGGCGGGTCAAAGCCAAGTTGCAACCAGGTAGTATCCGATATTCCCTAGGGTTTAGGGTTTAGGGTTTAGAGTTTAGGGTCAGCAGGGCAGGGAGAGGGAAGCTATCCCTACAGAATCACTAAGGGGAGGTTTCCAGCATCCTTTGCAACAGGGTCAGGGGGACTTAGCAAGTATGTTCAGAAGGGGGATAACCAGGGTTACTATACGGGGTATAGGGCTCATTAACCTACTTACGACAAAGTCCCCCTGACCCTAAGCCCCATACCCTAAAACCTAACTAACAAGGTAGTTTCCATTTTCTTTTCCATTATTAATAAGTTAACCTACGTACTTGGTCCCCTAGATATCCCATGATATCCTAGGGACTGCAAGCGCCCCCGGCAAGCACAAAAGGCAAAGGCAGATCAGTAGGATGTAGCCGTTAGGACGCACCTACTATATACGGATTATAGAGTATATGTGGGTGATATAGGGATAATGAAAAAGAAAATGAATACTACCACAGTTTATTGGGGTTACCTTTCAAGTTGCACCCAGTGGAATTCATTCTTAGACCCCGCACGTACCTTCTGTAGAGCCCAAACACTCACCTAAAGCCCTACTATTTGGGTCCTTGGACCCTTAGGGTTATGCCTTATAGTCACTATTACTGGGGGGGAGCCACCTAACATCTGTAGAGCCCAAATACTCATACATAGGACCTGACCTAAACCTTATAAGCTACTGTATGCTCCTGGTTTTCATTTCCTTGTCAGAATTAGTATATTTTCCAATCGATCCTCCTTTACTAATGAGCTACACATAGGCTCTTCAAGGGAAGTTGAAGGGTCCTGGCAGTCCAAACTGTTTACAAACTCAGGTTCAGCGCCTAAACCCTAAACCCAAACCCTAAACCCCTAAACCCTAAAACCCGAAAACCCTAAACAAACTCAGGTTCAGCGTAACCATCCAGTGCGCCGACGGCTACATTGGTGATGCAAAGGTGGAGAAGTGCGATGGGCATGGACTGCCCTACAAGATTGCTGCTTGCCCGCGTGAGCGGGGGCAGTTTTTTTGAATTTGGTGAGAGTAGATTGTATGCAACCTGTTAATACTATGATCCCGTTTTGCTTGCCCTTAATATAATAGAGACCCCCGAAAGCACCATATTTTTGACAACCTACCAGACAATGCGGTGCCTGTCACTGTCTTACAGCACAAGGTACGACGGATCTAAGGTTAAAACCATGGGTCCCTAGTATGACCCCGTAACCCTAGGATTCTTGTATAGCTACTAGATACCCGATTTATAGGGTCCCTAGATTCCCCCTACAAGTTTTAGGGGCCCGTATTCGGGGCCACACTTGCAACCTTGGAAAGGATGGATGTCTGCCCACCACTACCACCACGAGCACGACTACCACCACAACGACCACAACAATCAACGAGCCATGCTATGCCCCCAAGAGCACCGTTGGCTACAAGGTTGGCAGATTCCCCGGAATTGGGTTAAGGGTCAAGGGGGATCAGAAATGGAACCCTCCCATATATTGAGACCAGTATTACATTCGTGGAGGGTCAGGGGGACTTAGTTAATAAGGGGGATAACTAGGGTTACTACATGGGTTATAGCGGTTAGTAACCTACTGACTAAGTCCCCCTGACCCTAAACCCCATACCCTAAACCCTAAATAACAAGGTAGTTTCCATGTTCTTTTCCATTTTTGCTATCTTAACCTTCTTACTAAGTCCCCTAGATATCCCATGACTACGTCCCCCTGACCCTCCAAGTTGGGGGACACTCTGACGGCCAGGTCACCGAGACAAGCGTGCACTGGACCTCCTTCGATGTCTCGGCAGAATCTGGGTTGCTGTTAAGTTACCTTAACGCGTACCATAATATGGGTCTATGGTAAACAAAGTTAATTACCATAATACCTTTATAGGCTTAGGGTGGAGGGTAAAGGGATTTAAGTTGCTAGAATACGGGTATATGATAGATAATAGGCTTCCCTTATTATAGTAGCTTAATCTAAGTTCCTGAACAGCAACCCAGGAATGTGCCGATCGCTTCTATGGGCATGCCCATGTGAAGATCTGTACCAAGCCTGACATGGTCTACTACCTGTCTGGCTGCGTCGGGAGCTTGGATTCTCATGCTAGGTAGAGAGACACCCAAGTTCTAGCCATGGAATATCAGATAGTTTCTTATAACTACTTACAATTTACTAACATAGAATCTTAGCACCCCATACCCTAAACCCTAAAGTATTTGTATTTCGTAATGTAGCTACCTCTCTCTCATGCTGAAGCATTTCAACACAGGGCATGGGGAGCTTCAGGTGCCACATGAGATTGGCTGGGCCCTCCAAAGGTGAGACAAGACATGGGGTTTTTGCGCAAAGAAGGAGGACTTCCTTGTTCTAGGAATTGGATAGGGATGCATAGGGCTTAGGGCTTCAGAATGATAATGAAATGGAAGAGAAAATCGAAAATATCGAAACTGGTATATGCCCCGAGAAACTTTCTTCCCGGCAAGAATGTCAGGCAGAAGCCATTCCTTGACAGAGTAAGGCAACCAGGTGAGTTAGGCTTTCTGGAGCGCGATTACTTGGGGGGTCAGGGGGACATAGTAAGTAGAATAAGAAGGGGGATACCTAGGGCTATTATATGGGATACAGGGGTTATTGACCGACTTACTAAGCCCCGGTGACCCTCCGAGTAGGACGACCCACATCCTGTGTTTAGGGACGCACACTCAATGATGGAGACTCAATTGAAAAAGAACATGGAAAACTGAATGGACACTGGGATGATATAGTGGTTTCCAGAGGTTTTTGTTTTAATGATCCCGGCCCCTAAACCCTAAACCCTGAACCCCAAAATCCCTTGCGCGCGTGGCCTGTTCTGTGCTCAGACTCGGGTGGTGACCTGCAAGACACCATCGGACACCACCGGCTACCACGTCACGGAGAAAAACTTGGCCGCCTGACCAGCTTTGATGCAGCATCTCATAGTAACTCTGAAGTGCAGCCTTCACGCAGTACTGCATGTTGGGAGCGTGATCTGTAGGATGATGCAGCCCATTAACTGAGGACACGCATCAATGGGACATGTCGGCTTCATGCGCCCTTGCTGAATGAGAGTAGTTTCCATGACTAGGAGGGTCCGAGTAAAGGCCCCAAACTGGCTCTAATGCTTGTTATGTGGACCCGCAAAATGGTACTTATAATTTTTGAAAGCACCCATGTACTGCTGGTGTGAAACCAGGAGGAGCATGAACTGCAGATCAGTCTAGACGCTGCGTAAGTCTTTTCTAGACTTGAATGTGGACTTTAAAAAACGGGGTGTAAGGTCGGAGAAGTGGCGATTTCCTAACACTGGGCCTATACTGGGCCCCTATTCATGGAACCCCCACATGGATCCTCACCTTTAGCGACTTTGTTAGCGCAGGTGCCCCGAAGTTCCACGGCGCGGCGAAGGCACATGGCTTCAATGCCTGGCCTCCCCGAACAAGCATTTCTGAGCATAACTGAAGTTCGGATAAGGGCTTAGCAGTCGGGGTTTACGGCTGCATATTTGGTAGCATTGCATCCACAACCACGGTATGCCTAGAGGGAGGAGTTGGCAAAGCAGGCTGCAGGGTGCGGCAAGTATAGGGGATATTCAGGGGGTTACTTGGAGACTAGGAGTTTAGAATATATAGCTCATATGAGTAGTATTCTATTTGGGGATACTATGGTACCCAATTTAGAGTAACATTCTGTCCTCCTTTTGGGGTAAAGTACTTTATATAAGGAATACTATCTTACTGGGTTTAACTACCAAAAAAACACTACTCATTTGGCCCCTGTTGGCATTGCCAGCACGCGGCTTGACCAAGCTCCTGTCAGGTGACGCAGTGCGATGAGGACACCTATCCCTACCAGCTGGCGGGCTGTGAGCCCGACACCTGTACCATGCTTACTTGCTTCTTTTGCGGGTTCTTCATGGGTTTTTCTAGGACCTCCCCCTGAATAACACAATTAAAGGGGAGCCTAGGGGGGGGCGTAGTCTCGGGGAGTGGTAGGGGAACCCCTCTGTGAGCAACTTGTGGTGACTTCTCAAAAACATGCCTGCATACAAGTCACACGTTGGGATTTAGCTGCAGGGATCACGCCTCTCAACCCTAAACCCTAACCCCACTTTCGTGTTTGAGGAAGATCCCTGCAGAGCTGAGTTCATGTGCGAGTTTACTGTCCTTGATTAAGGCATTCTCACTTTAAGACAGCACAATCATGCATAAATGCTGCCATTCGGTCAGGTTCTAACTGCTTTTCTTTCCATGAGAGTAATCATACTATACTTGACTACAATATATTTCATTAATGTATACTATACTATACTATACTAGATTACACTATACTATACTATACTATATTGCTGATCGCCCCAAGGCACCGGTCCAGGGGACACCACGGGCTACAAGTACACAGCCAAGTCTCTGGCCATGAAGCTTGGCTAAAGAGATGCTGCAACCGGGTTTAGGTTGGCTACTGCCCCCGCTCTGTAACAGTTGGATAATATTTATCATATAGTTGTATGTATATACACACATATTTGATCAATATTTATAGTTTACTTGTTGATATATATATATATAGATGTGTATATATATATATATTTGTTGAATATAGCTCTTAATACGACTCCTAATATAGACTGTGACAGGTCTGGGGCACTACCCGAGGTTTAGTGTTTGGGGCTTTGACCATGTGCAGTGGCTTTGAAGACAGCAATTTCTTTTGCTCTGACACGCAGGGGGCCTTGTTCGCATAAGTCTCACAGCACGAATCTGAGGCACAATTTCGAGGTATCGGTGGAGTGCGCTGATGGCTGGGAGGGAAATCCGGAGGCCACAGTTTGCGACGGAGATGGGAAAGCTTTTACCATTGATGCTTGATTGCAGAAACTTTCTCCACCCATGGTCTCATTGCCAGACTGATTTTTTGGATGGTGTTTCAGGCTAGGTAGAAAAGCGTGCAAGTTATAGCATTTGCGTAGGCATTGTCAATTTTTTGGCGGCTTGGCTTGAGCAAGGCATAGCCCTTGTTCAGGAGACTGCTCACTTCAACTTGGACTGGGTATTGACTTTTAGTGCAAGGCATGTTCGGAAGAGTGGCTACGCACTGCCCAGGACGGTTGCCAAACCACCACAACCACGTCTACAACCACCACAACCACGACGACAACCACGACAACCTCTACTACAACGACCACAACGACAACCAGCACAACAACCACGACAACCACCACCAGCACCACAACCACCACGACCAGCACCACAACCACTACCACCACAACTTCGACCTCCACAACGACAACTACTACCAGCACCTCGACCACAACAACCACTACTACGACCAGCACCACCACCACTACAACAACAACTACAACCTCCACAACAACGTCCACAACCACCACAACCACAACCACCAGCACCACTACAACCACGAGCACAACTACCACAACAATCACCACTACCACCACAACAACAACCTCGACCACAACAACCATTACAAGCACAACGACGATCACCACCACATCCACCACGACTTCTACAACAACCACCGTTACGATCCCCAAGTTGGTGTGCTCCGCGCCTCTGGACACCACAGGCGCATAGCTCTGTTGCATCTCATGCGCGTTCTGATTTGCTGCGGGCTTGGTGACTTGTGGTGTTACCATAATTTTGCAACATTACGACGGTATTATAACTATCTTATTACTAAATGATGACTTCATTCATACTTCATCATTACCATTTTATCATGTTACTATATGGGTACTACATGATTGCCATGTCAATATGCTAGTAGATTAGTACTACATTATTGCAATGTTACTATGCTACTATATTGGTATGACACTGCTACCACATTACTACGTTACTTAAATTCTTGCTATATGAGCTAGTCTAAACTCCTAGTATCCTCCTTAATAACCCCTATAGTAGTCCCCTACATAACCCCTTTAAGGAGTTTAGACCTTCGCTCATATCCTTATTGAGCAGGTTACCTCGTCTCCGAGCACAACCTGCTGCAAGAGGAGTTCAAGGTTACGGCGAAGTGTACGGATGAGTACCTGCGGTAGCACAATTCAGCTAATGACCCATTGGGGTAATACTAGGGGTATATTGGGGTTATATAGGGATAATGTAAAATCAAATGGAAACTACCATAGTATGTTATGAAGAAGGACAAGCCGTTACTACGACTCTAGCTATGATCATTTTTTGCGATTATTCTTTATAAGTGTCAGTATTACTACAAATTCTATTGGGTTTGTAAGGGTGTGTGCGAAGTGTGCTGCTGAGGTACATCGGCACCCCCTCCGCAATCGCGTGCACCGAGGAGGACAGCATCTACCAGCTGCTGGGCTGCTGTTAAAGAACTTAAATTAAGTTGCTATATTGGGGAGCCATATTGGATACTTTACATACCCAGCATGGTACCTTAAACCTTAAGCACTATATATCCTATTTATATATGTACACACCCATTATGGTAACTTAATTTATGTTCCTTCAGCCCAGGCTGAAGGGCTGCGAGAAGAAGATCTACTGCCTGGCGCCATCGGAGGCTCTAGGCCAGGCATTCTAGGGTTTAGGGTTTAGGGTTTAGGGTTAGTTACCCTATGGCAACTACATGGGATAATGGAAGAGAAGCTGGAAACTACTACCATATAGGGGTAATGTAGGGGGTATGTAGGGTTCATCGAAAAGAGAATGGAAACTACTATTTAGGGGGAACATATAGGGGTAATATAGTAATATAGGGATATTATGTTCATTCAATTCTCCTTTATTGGACGGGATTGCAAGAAATACGCTCCCGGAAACTAACATGGAAACCCAAAGAGGGCCCTATAAAGCCTACAGTCCTTCTAACAAGGGGCTATATGGATTTCCATGTTAGTTTGGGGGAGTGTAGCACCTCAGTCTCAGACATGACCACTTGTCAGGCTACTCGATTACCGAAAAGAGCCTTCTCAAGCAGACGTTCGACATCACCGCGACATGCAAGGATGGCTTCCATGGCTCCGCGAAGGCCTGACTGCGCTTCTTGTGTGAGCTGGATTCCACTGCTCTGACGTGGTGCAACAGTTAGATTCCCTAGGAGTAATACCAATAGTAAGAATAGTAATAGTAGTAATAGCAGTAGTAACAGTAATTGTACTTGCAACCGTATTCCTACACACAGACTTCCCCATTTTGTCTTATGTAGGGGACGTAGACCCCTTCAGGGGGCTGGATTGCTAAACCCTAAAGCCACAAAGGCAGAACCATGCGCCGCAAGTGGCGAACAGTACACCTTGACCGGCTGCATGGAGAATTTCTGCACATCGCCGAGCACAATAGGCCTGCGGGCACGATGCATTTGCCAGCCAGGGTTTAGGGTTTGACAACTCCAAATGAGAATCCTCTCCCCAAAATCGTACCACTATGCAAATGGAGGGTATGTGTTATAATCCTAAATACCACGGTAGTGTGCATATTCTTTTCCATCATTACTAAATGAGGTACAGTTTAAACTCCTTAAAGGGGGTTACTGTATATAGGGGCTTATGTGCGGGACTACTATAGGGCTCGTCAAGGGGGATAATTAGAAGTTTAGACTGTAGCTCGTATGGGTGGTTGTTAAAATTATGGTCCCTTTTTGGGTACCCTAAATATTAGGTGCCGTATTATAATCCAAAAAGGGCCCATAATTTTGACAACCACCCATATGACCAACATTGAAGCATCCTTGCTGGCAGGCTACGCAGTTTCAGAGGTGGAGCTGCGCATGCACGCCTTCCAGGTTGGCTAGGGGCTCTGCCCAAATCCTAAACCCTAATCCCTTAACTCTACACCCGAATCTCTAGTCCCTCAACCCTAATCCCTAAATCCTCCCTAATCCCTAAACCCTCTAATCCCTAAATCCTAATCCTTAAAACTCTAATCCCTAAACCCCAATCCCTAATCCCCAAACTCCAAACCCTTCTCGCTGCAAAGGTTACAGCAAAGTGCGACACAGGCTATGAGGGCACTGCGGTAGTGGAGTCGTGCAGCCTCCACAAGGGTCTCCAGACTTGACGAGCACATGTGGTCAGGGGGACTTTGTAAGCAGGTTAAGAACGCGGACAACTAGGGTTACTGTGCGGGTTTTTTTGATCTACTTACTAAGCCCCCTGACCCTCCAAGTACGAAGAGTTCCGTACTTTTTTTGCAGATCAGGGGCCTCTATACAGACCTCAGACTGCTACAATTCTTATTGTAGGCACCCCTCGAAACGGACCCCTAATTTCGGGAAACTCTCATACGGCGTTACTTCGAAGGAGACTCGCTAAACAGGCTTCTCCCACAGCCGGTGCTTTGGGTATACCTAGTCAGGATCAGCTTTGTCAACAAATGGGTTGTTCTCAAAATTATGGGCGTTCTCAAAATGATGGGCCCCTTTTGGTTATAGATTATATGACAGCACCTCATATTTAATTTTGGGAACTACCCATAGAACCCCAAACCTCAAATAGTAGCTTCCATGTTCTTTTCCATTATCCCTTAATCACCCTTTTTTGGGGGAATCTAAACCCTAAACCCTAAATACCCTTAATTTTGGGAACTGCCCCAACTCTGAGGCCAATACAAGCTCAGTGGCTGCACAAGGAGAGAGGTCTTCTGCGTTGCCCCAACGGATCCCTGGCTCAATGGATGCAGATCACCTATGTAGTATTTTATTTGGGGATACTATGGTACCCAGTATAGAGTAAGATTCTATCCTCCTTTTGGGTATAGTATTTTATATAAGGAATATACTGGGTTTAACCACCAAAAAAAACGCTACTCACCTATGATGAATAATGAAGGAGACTACATGGAGATACTGCGTGTCTGTAACACACATATGGGTAGTTGTCAAAATTATGGACCCTTTTTGGATCCCTATTATAATACAGCACCTAATATTTAGGGTACCCAAAAAGGGGCCATAATTTTGACAACCACCCATATGTATACACAAGCATATGTATATACACATATTGTGCATACCTAAGAACATGTACTGTAAGGCATACAAGCTTGAAGGAGACAACAGTAGAGTTTGTGGCATCCTGGATCGCAGAGCCTGCAGCATGACATCAACCGTTGCAGGTCACTGACGGCTACACCGTGACCGAGACGGACCTCCGTGGAGATGCCTTTGATGTGACAGCAACATGCGCGCCAGGATGGACAGGCAGGGGGTCGTCAAAACTATGAGACTATGAGTCCTTTCTTGGGCAGACTCATGTAGCCAGGCTCCCACCCCCCAAACCCGAAACCTCATGACTTCGAACCGGTAAACTCACTCATTATGGCAAAGCGCAGGTACGGCAAAGGTGTCGAAGTGCACAGGCTCCACGAAGCAGGCACGTGGTGTGCAAGACGCAAATGGCCTTTTGCTTCCAGTAATTCTGCTTATAGGTAGTGTTTCGGGAAACCCCTATAACGACGGACAAGGCTGAGGGAGCAATTTCAGGGATCTGACTGTTCCAAACTGGCTTTCTGGGGCTTGGGCATGATGGGTGCGCTCTTAAGCTAGCAAAGGGCTGCTATTCCATTTTAAAAAGCCTCAGACTACTACCTACACCCTGACCCAGAAGCACCACAGGAGACGTTTTGAATGCAAACGTTTTGGGAAGGACCTCCAATCGGAAAGCTCCAGCCAATGCCAATTAGAGTTCAGTGCTTAGTCTTGAGGGACCTACTGGTAGCAATAATTACTGGGTCCAATTTCCAGGAGCTCTTCGTCCGGCCTTGCTTGCGACCATGCACCCATGAATCCCCAATTACGCTAGGTTCAGGGGTTTTAGTTCAGGGTCCGCTTTGGTACCCCTAAATACTAGGTGACTTACTATAATGTATAAACCAGAAAGGACCACTATTTTTGAGAATATCCCGTAGACCCCACACCTACAAAATCGTGAAACAGAGTTCAGCTCTTTCATTTTTTTTTGTGCATATGATCCCCCCCACACAGGTAAAATTAGTTTTTGCAAGGGTTCCAGGGCGGGTACGCTTCGAACCAGTATAGATAGGGCCGAAAAGACATACACGGCTTTTTGTACCTCAGCAATACCATATGATATTTGGCTTTTTGGGTTTAGGGTTCCCGGAGTACATAATGAGGAAACCATGGGCAGGCGCCTACATCTTACTCTTTGAGCGGCTGCTCGCGCCGGTAAGCTCGCAGCGTTCAGGCCTCAGTGTGCTTAGGGTGGACGGTCTAGGACTGAGGGTTTATGGTTTGGGGTCGCGAGGGTTCACAGCGGTGTTGTCGTTGTGGTCGTCGTTGTGGTCGTCGGCGGCGGCAGCGTGGTTGTGCGGTTGGGGTTGGGGCTGGTGTTGTTGTTGTTGTTGGTGGTGGTGTTGGTGTTGTTGCTGCTGCTGTTGTACATGAATATGAATATCTGAAGCCAAGAAGGATTTAAACTTTAAACGGGTATTTCTAAAAGTCCCTTGACCAAATTCAAACTCAGAGGTCCGAGGAATGCAAGATGGTATGCTGATGTCTTGAGGAAGGGGCAAATTCAGTGGTGCATGAGTTTTACAGAGAGTACATAATATGGGCATCATCTTGCTAACTGTTTTAGGGGAGTCCGACGGATTGAGACAAAGGTTCCAGATTCGTAATGGAGTTACAGTACCGTTGATATTTAAAGTTCGGCATGACCATAACTCGCAAGGCTTAGGGTACTTACGGTCATGCAGGGAACTGTTGTATCCACCGTGGTCATAGGGAGCAAGATTCCATGCTTCGCGTGGGGATCATAGTAGTTCGTCAGCAGGGTTTAGGGTTTAGGGCTTAGGGATACAATCGTACTTGATTCAGCCACCAAAAGAGGCTTACACCCAACATGGCCCAACATGATCCCTAAGCCCCAAAGGGGAGTCAGGGGGTCAGCAAATTCAGTAGGAGCCTGAACGAGTACCAAGACTATGGTCCTAGATTCTTTCTATCTATAAGCATCGAAAAGGATACCTCAAACATAGCTCAGAGTCATTATTTTGACCAGAATCTAGACGAGATCACACGATTCTGATAAGTGTGCCAAGAAGAAGAGAAAAATGAAGCAGAGACAAAGGCCGATCCCTGTTTCCATTTCATGTTCCATGTCCTTTTTCCAGTTGATTCTCCATTATTGGGGTAATATCCACTATCCCTACAGCCCACATAACCTAGATGCATGTATAACTTTTAAAGCACTCAAACCACCCCTACATGAGCCATAGTCTAAACTCCTGGTATCCCCCTTAATAACCTAAATAATGCTCCCTACAAAATCCCCTATATAACCCCCCTTTAAGGAGTCCAGACTAGCACACATGATTCCATGAATCCACGCCCCAGCCCAGGCGCGCTGTGGAGATGATTTGACTGAGAATCTCTCAACCCAATGGTCTGCAAGACCCATGCAAAAAGAGTGTAGGGTTGAGGGTTTAGGGTTCAGGTTTAAGGGTTCAGGGTTTAGGGTTTAGGCTTTAGGGTTTAGGTTTCAGGGTGTAGGTTTAGGGTTTAGTGTGGCTAGTAGGGAATGAAGGAAGCAAGAAAATGGATACCACCACGTTTAGGGTTTAGTGCATAGGTGGTGAGTAGGGAATGGAAGAATGGAATACATGGTTCCGGTGGGCTTCTTAGGGACTACTTAAAAAGAAAAAATAATCACAACAGTAATAATAGTCGTAATCGTAGTACAAATAATGATAACTTCTGAACACTTGGTATTGCGACTACATGGGGGATCTCTTCTTCCATTCTCTACCAGCCAACAGTGAGACACATGCCATGCTTTCTGGTTTAGCTGCTGTTTGGAATTTGTGCCCTAAACCCTAAATCCCAAACCCTAATCCTAGACCCTCAATCTTACACCCCAAACCCTAAATTCTAAACACTAAACCCGAAATTCCGCCTTTCAGGTCAGCTTTGCGATTGTTGTTTCGCTGACGGCTCAAACGAAGCAAATGCCTGCAAGAGTTCATGCTACATGTGGCACTGGATTTAGGCTTTAGGCTTGGGGTTTAGTTGTGTGGAACCTCTTGTGGCAAGTAGACTGAAAGAAAGGCATACAGACAAAGCACCAGCAACTGTATAGGACCTTTGCACAGAAAAGAGGTACAAACAGATCTTACACACAGCAGCAGCCGCTTGAGAGCCATGCTGGCAGTCTCAACGCGACCAAAAGCAGTGATTAAGCAACGCCTTAAGCGCCCTTCAACTGGAGGAGGCCAGTCGCTGCTCGCTGTGGCGCGCAACTGCCGGGAGTGTGGGGAGCGGCTGACGGCGCTCGAGGGCGCTCTGCACATTTGCCCGGCGAACTTCCAGTGGAACTTTCCAGCAGAAGCTGTGGGCAGTGCGCCCAGTTCAGAAGGCCCCTGCCGTGTGGTTCGGCTGGGTGCAAACGCACGGAAAGGTGCAGCTGATTCACAACTGGTGGAACTTTGGGAAAACATCCAGAAAACACAGCTCTCACATATCTTGGAGCTTCCATCAGTGGAGCAGCTGGCCACCAGGAGAGTGATTCTTTTGTTGGCCTTGCGAGGTAACTGGGCAATTTACGGTGACCTCACCCGACCTCACCCTAAATGGTGGTTTATGTATGGAATAGCACTAACATGACCGGAATTGGAATTCTTCTGAATTTCTATATAACCCCAATAATACCCCATATAACCCGTTATAGTAGTTTCCATTTTATTTTCCATTATCCTTATTGAAAATTGATTTATTTCTAAACTCCCCTGGAGGCAAGCATGTCATTGCTATGCTGAGTGCAGAGTGCATCACTGCTGCAGAGCTCCTCCCAGAATCTGGGATGATGTTAAGGAACTTAAATTAAGTTACTATAATAGGGGTATATAGGTTTAGGGTTTAGGGTTTAGGGCTTGAGGTTTAGGGTTATATAGGGGGTAGATATGTGGGGGTCTATAGGGATATATAGGGTTTAGTGTTAAGAGGGGTTAAGGAACTTAATTTAGTTACTATATGTAATAAATCGCAGTTTCAATAGGGACAATGGAAAAGAAAACGGAAACTACTATAACGGATTATATGGGGTATTATTGGGGTTATATAGAAATTTAGAATCATTCCGGGCAACTTAATTTAAGTTAATGTAGGGGCCGGATTACAAAAGGGGGTCGTATTAGAGCTAAATCAGGCCTGAACGGAATAATATAAAGGGGGTCGTATTAGAGCTAAATCCGGGCTGAACGGATTAATAACAACATAGAAACGGAATAGTGCATGCTAGCTTC